TTTTTTTTTTTTTTTTTTTACAAATCTCTGGTCTGTATGTGTTTTGGTGTGTGTCTGTATCCTGCGGTTATGTTGAAGAGTCACTTTCGTGTTGCTTCAGTGGATGAGCTTCTAAATGTGTGTGAAGAGATGGTTACCCTGAAATAGAAGTAAATGTGGGTTAAGTCCTGGGAGGGGTCCTTCGTTCAAACGCGATGGACAGGCTTTCAGCTGTCAGTCTGCTGTGAAGGCAACATGTCTGCCAGGAAGAGACACACATCCTCTCTCGCTCCTTCACATCTCTCCTTCACATCTTGCCACTTCCAGCAACAGTGAACGCACCACAGACTCTTTGCTGTGCCCACATGGCCACCAGAGAGCAGCCAGGCATTTATAATCGGGCATCATAGTGGGCACCTACATCTCTGTAATGCTTGATTTATGCTTAATCCAAAGTGTTTCCAAGTGTCACAGAAAAAAACTTAGGAAAACCTTGAGGGTTTTTTTTTTTTCAGAACTGTGGGAGGATCGTTGCTGTCCATCAGATTATGGAGTGGGAGAGCAAGCAGCAAGAAGTAATATGTTAAAGTACTGCTGTTTGCCAAAATGGCAACATTTCAGCTAAGACGTTGATGTTGCAGTTGTAGTTGTAGCGTCATCTAAGGAAGATTATACAAAATCATGCATTCTAATGGGGAACAATTATCTGAAAACATGTTCTGAATAAACTATTAACACAAGATGTTAAAGTTTTACATTTAAAGTTTAAAAAATTTAAAAATTAAAATGTAAAAATTAAAGTTTCATAGGCTATTAAGAGGGTTTCAGTTTTACTCAGAGTTTATGTTCCATATGTAAGGAATAACACACTCCAAACCATGTTGTTATATGAAAATAATGCACGTTGGGGGGTGTGATACGGCACAACACACAAGCGGAGCGCCGCTACCCCCTGAAGTGTATTATTGTCGTATAACAGCACAACCATATGTATTTTCATATTACATCATAACCAAATGTTGTGGAAGGTGGTTCCCTGGTGGACTAGTGGCTAGCATGTGGTGCTCTCATCACACAGCCTGGGTTCAATTCCTGGTCAAGGAACTAACCCCAGCCACTGGAGGGTTGCACAAGTCAGTGCTGGTCCCAAGCCCAGAGAATGAAGAGGGTTGCGTCAGGAAGGGCATCTGGTGTAAAACTTGTGCCAGAATCAAAATTTGCGGACGCAGGTTTCCGCTGTGGCAACCCCAAATGGGAGCAACCGAAAGAAGGGGGAAAAAATTGTTGCACAATGTCCGAGAGTAAAAGCTAGCTTTTCGCTCTCTCACTTGATCAGATTGCTTTCTCTTGTTCAAAGAATGCAGCTTGTCATTTTACAGAGAAACTTGAAAGTATAAACTCCTCTGTCCTGAAGACTTTCCTGTCCTGAAACTTCACAATGCACTGTGACTGTTACAAAATGCTTCCAAAGGAGACTCCTTCCATAAATGTTTAATAAATGTCTCTTAACAAAAAAAAATCACCACACCAACAATTATAGGTTTTTCTTTGTTAAACAACAACACGTTTCATTAAATCTGTATATTATTATTATGAGATTTTGTTGAGCATCTGCCATACAAGTTCCTGTGTATGAGTTGTTACCATATGAACATTAAACATATTAGAATGAGCACATTAATGTTAACCTATTGTTAATGTTAAAGACAGAACTACCTGTGCTGTTATACAAAAATAATGCACACCTTCTGACCAATCAGATTCAAGCATTCAACCATGCTGTGGTATAATTCAGCTTAAATGTGAATGGGCAAACTACTTTAAAAATGTGGTAATCCAAGCAACACTGACTATTCAAGAAATAAGCAAGTTGTTCCAATCAATCGACAAGAACTTCTGTTTTATCTGCAGAGTATTAACGTAGCATTGATACACACCACACTGTTTAATTTTACTAACATAGCCCACACTATTCTGTTAATCCTTCATAAATACAAATCAGAGTATAGATCCTATTATAAAAATAAAACAATGTGTTTAACTCTGATACTTGATCAATAAACTATTTAAAAGTCTTGATTTCAAAAAGGAATAGTCCTTAAAATGTTTGCTACAACCAAATTCTGTCTGGGTTGGATGACCCAACATAGCTTCTTCCTTCACACATTGCTGCTAGCCAATCACAGCAGAGGTTGGCATTCAGTTTGGATGCTTTTCCAAACTGCCTTGCTTCACACTCAATGGACTGTCTTTCCAATGCTCCAAAATCTTTGGGGGCCTGTGCAGAAGAAAGAAGGAAACAGGCTTAGAAGCTTAGAGAAGCATCAGTCATGTCACAGTGCATGTGATAAAAACTGAAGCAAGTCATAAGAATTAGTCCATATTCATTTATTTGGGGTTTGTTTGTTGGTGCATTCACCACAGGGAAGAGATCCATGATTGGTTGCCATGATTGGTTTGACCTGAGGTGTGAATGCCATATGGGCCACCATTGTCAAAGTCTTAAAATATGACATGCTAACAATTCTAATTGGCTGATTGTTCTGAAGTTGTTCCATGTTGAAATCAGGTAGAAATCAGCTGAGCACACTGAACATTGAGCCTTAATGAATCTACGATTTCTGCGTACTATATTTCCTATGAATTTCCTGAATTTGAAACTTTTGGAACATTCCATATCTGTCCTCATGCCACTCATTTTGCGATCGTCCCTTTAGCTGCTCATATGTCGAAACAGTGGCACTCAAAATCTATAATACGTAGCAAATTTGGTTTATTCCTGCAATTAGGTTGAATTAGGGTTGAAGCAGACCATCTTAAACCAGTTGTGTTTACACCCGCCCACACCAACGAACCACACCAAAGGACGGAAAAGAACCAGGGTTAGATTCAAATAGTCAAAATACTGCATGTGTGAAGACTGTACAAGCCAAGTATCAGAATCTGTGCCTCTCCTTCATCCTGTTTCTGTGTGAAATGAGGTTAGGCCTGAGGGATCTAGCGCTTCCTTGCTCACTACACAGTTCTGCCATGGGAAAGGCCTGAAGACGGAGCAGGCAGTAGAGCTGATCCTCCACTGACAACTGGGAGAAAGAAAAAAAAGTAGTCAGACAGGAAGAGGTCTCCAGAACCTTTCCTGTCACAAACGTCAAGCTCTTTTGATGCATGACAAACTAAAAGGAGGAAAATTGAGACTGGTGAGTCAGAGAAAGAAAATATGGGGAAAAAAGCTACTGCAAAGTGTTGAAAAGTATCTTATTGTGGGAAAATGGTATTGATAAGAGCAAAGAAGTACAGGCAGACGAAGACAAAATGGTTGATGCTGGATATCAAGGGTGTCAAGTTGCACTTAAGGGTCATCTTTCAGATGAAGGAAAATAACACCTCTCAAAAAGAGACGTTCTGATTCCCTCCCTTTACTGTCACTGTTTGACAAAATGATGACTTTTAATTATTCTGGGTCTCTTTGATAGATTGCTCTCCAATCAGGAAAGGGACACACAGACTATATCAATGAATTATATCTGTCTCAACTTTCCTGCAGGTTTTTTTTTTACACTGTTATTTATTGGCTCTTATTTATAGTCCATGTCAGTGAACTGCTGGGTATTGGCTCAGTTTAAACCAGAAACTATGTAGTATATGTAAATAAGGCACATGTACAGAGAAGTCTTTCAAAATGGCTTTAAAGCATAGAAATAGGAAATTTCTTTAATATTATAGATTTTATTAGGACTGGGAAGAGCAGTGTTTGGAGTTAACCCAATCACTGTGATTTGAAATGTCCAGATCCTCAAACTGTATCTGCTTTATTAGTCACATCCTTAAAAAGTACCTGAATCATTGGGTGATGCTGTAACTGAGGTCACTGAGACACTGTCATTATATGATATACACTGATAAGCCATAACATAATGACCCTGTCGCCGGGTCACTGGTTGCCCTTCCTTGGACCACTTTTGGTAGGTACTAGCCACTGCATACCAGGAACACCCCACACGACCTGCCATTTTGGAGATACTCTGACCCATCATCTAGCCATCACAATTTGGCCCTTACTCAGATCATTACGCTTGCTCATTTTTCCTGCTTCCAACACATCAACTTCGAGAACTGACTTTTCACTTGCTGTCTAATATATTCCACCCCATGACAGGTGCCACTGTAATTTTATAATCAATGTTATTCACTTCACCTGTCAGTGGTTTTAATGTTATGGCTTGTTTGTTTGGAAGTTTTTTCCCCCATTTTTCTCCCCAATTTGCCCTATGATACAACAACTATGGTGAAGGTTAACATGTGCTTCCTCCAAGACACATGAAGCCAGCCAAATGTATCTTGTTCTTGTTGTTTCTGCATAATTGCTGCTCATGCTGCATCACAGGGCAGTGCAACACACTCAGAGGAAAGTGCTATCTGCCCTCTTCCTCATACTTGAGCTCACAGACATCCAAGGTTAGCATTATGATTGACAGGGGAGAATGAGTATACCATCCCTTCCACCCAGAAAGCACAGGCAATTCACAGGCAATAGGGCATACACTTTTCTGTTACGAGCCCAGGCAGTGGCTAGCGTTAATTTTCCAAAATTACTTTCCTTACTTTGCTTACTTTGACTCTCATGAGTGTTCAATCACAGAAAGAAAAGAAACACTATAAAAAAAAAGTTTGGTCCCAATGTTTTTTGTCCTCTTAATACATTCATTTCAAGATGTGTTACTTTATTATTAGTGACAAAGACAAACTGTGCCTGGTTTCGAACCAGCCATGGGTCCAGCCATTGTGATTTCCAAATTGACGACTGGCTCTGATGTAAAGTTCGTGTTGAATCGAGTGAAGTGGCATCTTCATGTTCCTGCTCTGCACTTTGACTGCCTTCAGTCTTTTGAGTCGTGCCTGAGCAGTTATAGGAATCATCAGAAAGAAATCACAAACCTATATCTGAGATGGCCTTCCTCCTCTCTTAATAAAGAAGATGGATTTCTGTATGATGAGATATAGAGTCTAGGCCACAGGGTAACCTGGAAAATTATGGCTACTTGCTATCACACCTCGATGTCCAGACATCACACTTTTTTTGGCACCTTCTGTCATATAATCTCACAACTGACGTAAACACGCTGGCCAGTAGGGTAATGCCTTCATGTTGGAACAAGTGCTCAGAAAAACAATGTAAATTATGATACGTATGATACAGAGTACAGAGTTTTCTACAGGGTGTCCCAAAAGTCTCCATACATAGGGGAAATTACCACTTTTTAGCAAAACGTCTTCTAAAATTTTTCATACATGCGATATCCGCCTTGTTATTCTGTCATGTTTTCTCCCTATCTTTCCAAACCGCGACAAACGCCAGTCTCCCTTCTCTGCAGAATGCGACACATCCGCTCAACCAATCACAGCGCACCATTCCACGCATTGTAAACAGTAATGGCGGCACTTTGAATACACCCGGCATCCTAGTTTTCCTCATCTACTTTGTACTTTGTGATCAACAAACAAACAAAAAAATGAATAATTTTGACGGCATTGATGAACCTGTGGTGGTTTCTGAGGTGGGGAAGAAACGTAAGCCATCGAAATCTAATCATTTACGTGAGGAGATTAAGAAGATGAGGCACTCGGGAGGAGGAAAAATGCCGGCTGTTGCTTGTTCTCACACGACAGCATCAAACTTCTGTCACGCTGACACATTGACCCCAGGGGATCTTTTGAGAAACTTTCAATTGTTTTACTTGAAGTCAACGAAAACCGAGCAGGGCCAAGCCATTTTACAGCTGATCGCCGTCAAAAAAGTTCAGCGGCGAAAAAAAAAACGTGTCATGGATTTATTGCATTTTGGGGAAAAAATAATCAGTTTTTATAATAAATCTTTGAAAATCAAAATCTGGATTTGAATTTTTAATGTTATTATAACCTAAAGATGCTATGTGAAAGTTTGAAACAGAAAATAGTGGTTTTCATCTTGCACTTTCTTGGTAAAGAAAACACATTTTTACTCAAATTGATCAAAATGGATTTATAGCGTTTAGGAACCAAACTCTTCATATGTATATATATATATATATATGTGTGTGTGTGTGTGTGTGTATATATATATATAT